GTGCATATTGCTATCACTATTTCATCCAACAAAAAACTAAAACTGGTGGTTTAGTTTTGTTTTCTCATTTTTTTCTCCCCTGAGGAAAAAGTGTGCTTATTAACAACATATAAACTGCCAGAAATATTTTTGGCCTCATTTTAAATGTTACTGTATTATTTCTTGTTTTCTTTAAACATTTTTACCCTCATTGACAATTGACAATATCTTTGTGTCAACTATCTTTTGTTTTAAACTGTTTCAGTACATAACTAGAAATATATATGCCTCAGAACTCATGCAAGGATAAAAAGTAAATAAAATGTATATTATTAAAATGTCAAATGCTGTCAGAGCATCCTCTCCATGTAGCTACGTAGGACAACTGTTTAGATTGATTGCACTGACATGGGCAACACAGGTTAAAAAAAAAACCAAAAAAACCACCAACAAAAACCCCTCCATCACAGTTAAAGCTGCCAAATGAGAATATTAAAACATTACCCCTATCCAGTCACCTTTTAAGCTCAGAAGATACAGTTCCTTTGGTGTGAAGCTTTAATCAATTGCTTCACATCATCAGGACAGCTTCCCATTTTGGCATATCACACCAAAGATTCTTTCTCAGGCAAGTTACCCTTGCTGTCATCTTCCAATCAAATACAGTAATGTACTCAATGCTCTGCCAATAATTTTTGATCTTTGTACATTATTCTTCATCACACATTAAACTTAACATGGCTTTAATTTCTACATTATAGTGCTGTGCTGAGAAAGCAGTAGGTACACTTGCCAAGTGGACTTTTGAAAAGGTTTTGAAAACTTGCAAAATCTTAGAAGTAAATCAGAATTTTCTTTCTCAAAAAAAATCACAAATTTTGGATCTAACAGGATGAACATAAAACTTAAGCCAAAACACTGTTAATTACAACCTGACGTCAAAACCTGCTCATAGACACTGACGTAAGGATAATAGCCCAGATGATTTTGTACCCTCTATTTGGAAAAATGAAACTTACTTTTATAAGGTGGATGTCAGTAAACTGCTTGTTACTTTGACAGATCTTTAAAGAAATCACTGATTATAGTGTAATCTCCTACGCTATATAACTAGACTGATAAGAAGGATATCATACCATTCCTCTGCGATTAGCTGACAAAAGCAGTTTGTGGGCAAATTATCCTTGGTTTAACACTAAAAATAACCCTGAAGTAATGAGTTCTTAAAATCTTTCAATATCATAGTATCTTCAGTTCAGATGCCTGTAGAGTACAATGAAGCTCAGCACTGAAACTCCCCAGCCAGGTACACAGGTACATGAAGGTTCAGAAGTGAAGGAGGGGGGGGGGGGGAAAGCATGATTGATACTGTTAGGTTTCTAACTCAGGTCTCACTCTATGTTGTGCCAAACAATACTACTACAAAATCCAAGTTGATACAGGCAGCCAAATCAGCTATCTGGACATGTATCACATTCCCCTACAATCCTGTCTCCAGGAAACACTGTAGATAGAAATAGCTAGGAAATCTTGCCACTCACACTGTCTACACACCCTTCATCAACAGTTGACAGCTTAAACTGCACAGCAAGAGGTTCAAACTCACATCCCTCTCCCAAGTCCAGTGAGTGCAAGCCTTTTGCCATTTGGGAAGTATGACCTCTGGCAGACTATTTCCCATGGAGCAATGTTTACATCAAAGGACAAGGCTCTCACAGAAGTACGATGCAGTATCTAATTTATCAGCACGCTTGTGGGCTTTGTCTCCAAGATGCTCTGTAATAATTGTTAATTTCAGAACAAGACAAAAGTAGTTCCCTATCTAGTTTGATATTATCTTATGAAAGCTTTGTTTTTCAGCTGGAAGTAACGATTTTTAAAAAAGCACACAACTTTATTTATCAGTTAAAAGGGGTTTAGTGTAAGTGAATAAATACACCACAACTTCGGTACTCAAAAGCCTGATCATAAGACCACTTAGCTATTCTAAGGTGACAGAGTCACAGTAAGAATTAAAATACTCTACAAACCTATTTCACTGAAATTAACACATTATTTTTTAGTAAAACTACAGATTCATAAAAAGATGGCAACAGAGCACTACAGAGAAGAGATATATAAGGGGGGGAAAATGATGCCAAATATACTAAAAGTGCTACCTACTTAGAAGCAGTTTCAAAGATATTTCTCAATTACACAACAATCTGGAGCTACTTCATACTAGAATAATGACCACTGAAAGGCAAGATTTGTTTCCTCTTCTTTTTTTCCTGTGTATTCAAGTTGTACTAGCTCTTCTGTATCATCTGTTCGATCAGTTTTCACTACAGACTACAACTTTCACAAGCAGTGAAGAGAACACTTAACTAAAAAACATCAAAAAGGAAGGCTGGATGAGAGAGGCAAAAGTATGCTATCAACTACTTTCCTGTTGAAAAGTAGGTTAGATTTGAAATTGACAGTATCAATTCAGTAAAATAAGAAAAAAAACAAGAAAATCAATGAGTAATTAATTAGATTAAAAAAACATTATCTTATGAGCTTCCCATCAGTAGTGTTCCTCTAAATTTATAGGTGATATGAACCAAATATTTATGACAATAATCAATTTACAATACAGCTATTTTTAAAAATCTTGACATGGAAATGCAAAACTACAAAAAGTTAAATATTCAGTTAATTTAAGAAAAGTAACATCTTGCTAGTTACATTGACTTAATTTCTATCCCACATATTAGTATATTAGAACACATTAACAGACAGAAATCCAGAGATTTCATGCTACAGACACGAACAATAAAGACTGTTATGAATACAGGATAACCAAATAATAAAGTTTTGATGAGAATCAGTATTTTAAATCTGCTGATGCCTCAAAATTCGAAATGAAAAACCAGTCTGCCTTAGAAGCTTCAAACTCTGAAGTTTAAGCTGAATAACCCTTAACGATATATCTATCAAGTTGAGTTTAAGATTCTACTGATATTAGGGTTTCACATCTTTACTGGTTACCTAGAAAACTCAGATGCACGGTCATAATATTCACATACTAGATTCAAGCAAAAGTTACTGTCTCAGCTTACATACCACTTTTCACAATAACAATGTTAGTGAAGATTCAGACTACAACCAGAGATAAACGTTAGAAGCCTAGAAAGACTAAGCTCATTTTTATAAAAGAAAATAATTCAACATACAGAAAAGGAAAAATGAAGTAGTGTGCACCTAAGCATTGCTTTCAAAGTGTTTCCAAACACAAAGTCATTACAGAAACAGGGTTTCAGGCAGCAATATCAACATTCCCTTGTAATTTTTCTCCTCCTTTTCCTCCTCATGTTTTTTTCCTCTTTATTCTATCTCACATAATTCTGATTACACAGTCTTTGGAACATGAACCCCATCTTCTAGGACTGTATGGTATCTTCACAATACCAGACAAGTTAAAATTAGCAATTATCTACCAATGCTATCTTCTAAGTAAGTTAAGACAAGTTTAGAGAAGAGCAGCAAAAGGTTTCTAGGATAATATTACTTTTAAAATAAAAAAGCTTGATATGTATATCTACGTAATGTTCAACTAAGAAGAAAGAAAAATAAAAGCAAATGACTGAAATGCATAAATACCAAAAAGGGAAACACTTACTTAGCATACTAGGCAGAAAGATAAGTGGAACAATGGATGCAAACAAAAGGCATATCAGGGGATGGAAGGGGCATGGGGGAAATTTCAACAGCTAACCTAGGCAAGGAAAGCAAAAGCATTAAAGCTAACCTCAAATGGCTAAGAAAGTCTGCATTACAACTTGCCTCCAGCCAAGTGCTTATATACAATACATACAATCCTCTTCCAGTGAATATATCTGAAGGGATGTTTTGAAAGAGTTAGAAAGATTTTATTTAAATTAATGGCTAGACACCTGAGATTTGACCATTTTGGACAAGTTTAAGATATTATATTAGCACTTATCTAGCATTCCAATAAGAGAATAAAACTCCTATTTAAAAAAATAGTATGTATGTCTACATGACTGCTCCAGAGACAAACTTATATTAAAACTACATATACACAGACATTATATACATTTAACTTTAGAGGACTGAAGACATCTTCCCCCAAAAGCACCCAAGGACCAAACTTTGCTCATTTTTTCAAAGGATCTGATTAGAATTTTTTAACAGTAACAGTCTGCCAAATAGCCTGATACCTTCATGAACTTGGCAAATAAGTTTTATTAGCTTGCCACTTGCTAGACCTACAGAAATTAAATACTAACATCACCAAAAATAGCTACTTTTAACATGAATCTTAAATCTTCTGTTCTGTAAGCAAAAACTTTGTATTACCTGATTTAAACACATAGCAGCTCTCATATCCATACATCTTATTAGCCTTATTTGGATTAGTTGAGTTTAATGAAAGTTTAAGTTATTTCAGGCTGTATATTGAATGTTCAAGGGGACAGCAGTATGTCAATTTCAACTGAATACTCTAGAACTACATATAAATAAAGAAATACGCCATCTTAATACAATGGAAAGTTGGAATTAAGAGAAAACAGTGTCCTCGTTTATCTTCTACTTGAATTTTAAAGACAATCCAGCATTTACATATTATGATTTCTAGGCGTTACAAAATCTAAGATTTTGCTCCCAGTGGTAATTGAGCCAGCTGTATTTATGTGTAATTACAGTTTTCCACTGTTGCTCTCAAGTATAATTTATTAGGGATTACAATGCTGTAAAAGCACACAGTAAACAGACTACTAGCTGCAGCTGAATTAGTGGTATGTGAGAAACTTCTGTAGCTTTAAAGAGTTGTGTCCTATTTCAACTGGACATAATAGTATTAGCATAATATGCCAGGTTACCTTTTTACCTTTTTTATTTTTAAGAAATTTTACCTTTGTCTTGAGTGAAAGATAAAATTAAAATCATGAAATGGCATAAAAACCCATTAGGTAATGAAAACACACACATTGCTAAAAGAATCTGAGACAATAAGTAATACGTAAATTATTAACCTTGGTTGCGACGTCAGCTTTATAACTGTCTTGTGTGGCAAAGAATCTTGGGAAGACTGAACATCATCCTACAAGAGAACATCTTTGAATTTGCTTTTGAATACATTTAGACATATAACATATGGGTTTTGTCTACAATATGAACTTTATGAAGTACAAAACCACACTAGCCATACCATAAACAGAAGCCTATTTTAGCACATTACACAGGACGATGAACCACAAAAGTTTATAAACTAAGTACTTCACACTGACAAAAGAAAAAGTCTCACTTTGACCGACTCATTGAGAAAGCTTTGTTTTCATTAAATGTGTCTTATTAGATACCATTATCAAATTGTCACCCCTATGTTTTCATTTTTGCATACATCAGAATTGCCAACTTCCTTCAAATTTTGCAAATACTTACCATATATTTTTTCTAAATTTCTGTTCCTATAAGTTTACTCTCTGAAACCCTACAGTCCCAGGGCTCACTTCCAACGAGAAACATTAGTGACAAGTCATTGCTGTCGCTCTTGGCATTAGTCTTTAAGTAAGACAACAGACAAACTGTTGATCTACTCTTACATTACTACTGGTTCATATAATGGTGACAACTATAGACTTTACAACTGAAGTGCAAAGCTCCCAGTTCCTCAGAATACTCCAAAACATTCTCAACATCGCGTTTTTCAAATACAACTATTGCAAATTACATGAAAATTTTCTTTCTGAACTCAAAGAGGTAGCATTACTTTTATAGGTTGGGTATCACCCTATGGGTTGGATCATTCAGGGATCTCCAAGTTTCTTCTGTCTTTCAGTGTATTGTCTTCCAAGAGATCTAGTTTTTGTTTCTTTACTAATTTAGAGTCTGTACAACCTACACACGATGCATAAAGTATTTAGTTACCAGCTGAGAAGACCAGGACACTTTTGTGTATAACTAACAATTAAGAATAGCAGAAATACACTGCAAACAGCATCATTTTGGAATCCTTCCACCATGTCTCATTCCAATTTCCTTCTTTCTGCCTTCAGGAAGGGCAATTTTCCTTTGGTTGTACCTACTATCTACTGGAATGCTGTTACAGTCTCTAGTTCTGTTCCTTTGATCATGTGTTACTCTTCTTCTTCAGCCCTCAAAGACAACAGCTGTTTTCACTCTTAACGTCTTCATCATTTGCCTTTCTCAGTTCTCTCAGCAGTCATTCTGAATGCCCATCTCTGAGCAATTCTTGATGTTAGCTTCCATGAGCCAACAAAATACCATGATGGTATTTTGAAACTAGTGCCTTTGAACTTTCTACTTGCTCAAGGTTTGCAAAAGGTTTTTTGTAAATATCCTGAATTATCCCGTTAGCATTCCACATTAAAAACCTTTTGCTGTGGTAACCAAAGTACTGTGGGAATATAAGGTTTACGATATGCTGCAATCACTGTATATCATACAGATAAATCATAACCTACTTCTGTAATAATCTTTTTTTCCTGTTTTATATAAATATAATAAGTTTCTTGAAATAAGGACTTTCTCTCTTCTTCACTTTGTCTTTCACAGTCGTAATAGTGCATTTGACTTAGTATGCTCCTAGGCAATACACAGTTTAAACAGCAATTAGTACTTCCACAATGCAGTGGTATTCATCTCGACTCAAACAGAAACAATGAAAGCGTAGTAAAATGTAACATCACAACATCATCCAATACAATTCAGAGTAGAACTGAAAACTTCATTCCATGAATGACTTCAAAATATTCTTACTCTATGAAGGTGTCCATTCATTTTGTTAGCCTTTCCAACCAGGAGAAAAATGATGTATTTGTGGCACACGCTCACATAGCATGCACCCACAGGCACATATACACAGCACACACATACATATTTGGACCAAAGTAATAAAAATTATAAAGAACTATTTTAACCATTGCTTTTTTTTCTTTTTAAATATATGTGACTGGAAGAGTAATTCAAGGTATGACACATCTGGCACATCTAAGCCAGAAGAAAACATGCCATGTTAGTTATGTTAGAAGTGTGAGGTATTCTATGATATAAATCTAAAACAAAGACTGTCTTAATCCTGCTACGTTTATGTGCAAAGAAATTACAGCATCTTGTGTCCTTTCTATTCCAGCTGTATGGGCTTAGGTAGACTTCCTAAGACTATCTAGCTACCACAGCAGAGAGCTTTTGTTCAGAAAGTGAAGAAACTAAGAAATTATAAAGGCAACAATATTATATTAGCAAGTGTGTTTCTTCAAGGTCCTCTTCACTGTAAAATGAATCTCAAAATTACATGTGTGGTTGCTGACTTTATCACCCGTAGAGTCCTGTTTTGAAAAATTTCAACTAAGGAGAAAAGCATAAGGTCTTGTCTAGACCTGGTCATGCAAACTCAGCTTAGGCTTATGTTCAGGATGGAAATTTTCCTCTTCCTACATTTGTTAAGTAATAAGCAAAGTCAAATTACAGGACTGCATATCGTTATATAATCACTTATCATATGCATGTCAGTGAAGTCACTAACAAATTAATGCCCACAAGAAAATCAGAACACCTGGTTTTACCATGGGATTGACAATGTGGAACAAAATAAGCCCATTTACTTTCAATGTGGGGCTTCTTTCAGCATTAGCTGCTGAAGTTTTCACTTCTTACTTTCCAACATCTCCAGTTAATATGAACAGTGACAAGTAGCAGATTTTTGAGCCAGTATTAGTAGCAAATTTCATTCTGACTTTTCCCAGGTTACTCAAACTGTATTGAAAAGACATAGTTCCCATTTTATTTTTGGAGAAAAATCAAGAAAGACAGCTTACCATCTTCAGGAACGGAGTTGATGTGTCATAATTATAAGCACCTTTATCCTTTAAGATAAGAATATGAGCAGAGTCAGTTATCACTTTCTTCAAGTTCATTATTGAATGAAAAAGCCTGTTAAAAATTTTGAAGTTTTAGTTAGTTTTCAGGCATTTTTATTCAATGTGATAACATCAAAATTCAAAAATATTAACCCAAAAGTGTGAGTTACAGAAAAATAAACATCATCTTTAGTATCAATAAAGCATGAAATTAAGAACAGCTAGTTGCAATGGGTGCCCAAATTGTGAAGTACAGAAATACTCTGAATTTCATTATATTCCTACCTTGCATACTGAAAATGAGGTACATCTCCACCCCACTGTTATGCTCCACTTATACCCTCTAAATACCAAGTACATTTTCAAAACGCTAATCTTAGGAAAGTTTATGATTTGTATGTTTGATTTCCAGTATCTATAGGGAAGACAAGCCTGAAACGCTGGTCACAAAGTCAAGATTGCCTTCAAGGAGGATTAGAAAAACAATCAGAAACACAAAAATTGATTACATTATTATCATTATTTCCATTGCTTCACCCAACATAAGGTTTCCAAATTCTTAAATACAGAGAGCTGTGTAACTTTATTTGTAAAGTGAAAAAAGCCTTTATTTTACTTTTTCAAAATCAAGTGTCTTGGACATGTTTATACCTTGATTATACCTAAACTTGAATAGATAAAGAATTTTAAAAATTATGGAATTTAAAAATACTTGTCATGAACGCAGTAGTTCAAACTGAGAAATAGCATTTTATAAAATAGAGCATTTAATACAACAACTTATTTAATGGACATGCTGTTTAATGGACATGCTCTATCATTGACCGTCTACCAGCATCTACCTCAATCAAATTTACTAGTGCTTAACATTCCAATATGTAACAATTTTCTGAACGAATGCATAATTAAAGCATATATATGTATATATATCTGTGTATGTAGATATCTCATACACTATTCAACAAAATTCCTTAAAAGTAATTTGTCAATACTGAGAAACCAATTGCTCACCAGATAAAACAGCAATAAACAACAACAGATAAATGAAGTAGAATATTGGCAACATGAAAAAGATTTCTCACATTGAAGAAAGGTAGGTTACAGAGGGTGTGGGATTTTCCAAGGAATATATGCTTAAAATAGCATGTTTCTTGATCATTGCTTAGCATAGGCAGATATAAAATGTTCCCTATACAACAGTTACTGCAGAAAATAACAGCCCTGTTATTGAAGAACTCTCGGTATCATGTCTAGCTTCTTTTGAAACCTCAGAAATTTTTTTTGGACATCAAATTCTTACTTCAGAGGATTAAGAAATATTTCATAAATGAAAAGCATGGATAATCATATCCACCTGTCTTTTAGAGCACCATCTACACTTTCAGCACTATGTTGCTAGTTATAGCGAATCTATATCTTTGAAATAAATACTTCTTTAAAAAAAAAAAAACACAAAGGGAAATTAAGATTTAAGTTCATATATTTCTAATAAATTACCTGGTGCCATAATCCACAACTACCCAATCTTTAGATGTTCCTGTAATAGCATCATGATGCTGAAAGAGTCCAAGGTTCCTCCTAGCTTCTGTCAGCAACTTATAGTTATCCGCTGAAGGAAATACACTCGTCTTCTCAGATTTACCAGACTGTACCAAAGCCAAGGAGTAGAGGATTTCAGCTGCCCTGGAATTGCAGAGAATTAAATTAATTTATACTAAAATTAAATTAAAGGTTTAAAAAGCAAAAAACAACACACATTTCACCTAAAGAATAAACTGATCTTTTTACATCTCCCCTCATCCTATTTCCTCAAGTTCTTTAAACCTTAATCTTGTACTTTTTAGCCTGTTTCTAGCTTCAAACATTTAAAAGTCACCGCTGCACTTCATCATCAACCAGTTTTATACCTTGTAAGATTCTTGCAAGGCTTCAGTGATGGAAAATAGAGCTTTGAAGTAAAAATACGACAGTACAAAACTAACACACCATTTTCACAAATATATGAGGTATACAGATTTGATCCTAAAATCATACAGTAAGGACAGACTGCCTTACAGGAGACATACATTTCACTTCACAGGAAACAATTTCAATTTCAAAGAGCAAGTTAATATATAAAATTATCTTAAAGAAATATATTATTCCATAGGCTCTATACAATATCTATTTTGCCACTTGCACTTTAAGCAAATGAAATTCTCCTAAAGAATTAGGCGGTTCATGCACCTGTTCACTACACATTCACCTGAATGGTGAGAACACTGGATTCAAAAATCCTTAGACTGAAAAGAATGCAGAGCCCTTCTCTCCTACTTCTTATGCAAAAGCCTAGCACTAAAACATCTTCATTAGATTCTCACTTTCTTTATGATCATCTAAATTTATTTCATATAAAAAACCTTATAATTGCCTGTCATTATGAATATCTGACTAACAAAGATTCCTGTAGAAATTCTGGGAAACCATCTGTTAACGTTTTTTCCCATCTCCTTTTCCTAAAATGCTACAGTTCCATTTTTGTAAATCTGAAATGTGTCAGACTCCTTTTCAAACTTTATTTGAGCTTGAGGTTTCTCAAGTGTTTGAAAAAAGCAATAAGATACAGGTTAGTGTTATAAAAAGCAAAGAAAGCAAAATAACATATGCACTTGAAACTAATGTAAACCTAACTTCTAAACAGGGAAATAAAATAAAAAAATAATGAAAAGAAAAATATGTTAACTTTTACGTTTACCCAAGCTGTCGCTAATTGCATGCGTTCAAATTTACAGTAGGCACAACAATAAGTTTTAAAATCATTCTCAACTTGGGTCTTCAGAATGTGCATTGATATTAACTGTTAACATGAAAAACATCTTTGGATTCAGTTTGGTCTCTTTGTCTTTATGCATCACATAGGTGACAGTTATGCAAAAACTGCAAGTAGCATGTGTCGAACTAAACTGAAATGTACACTGTACATATAATAGCTCAATTCATTTTCATAATGTCAGAATTTGAAGAACAGGATGAGCTTTTGCTCTTACAGACAAGATAAGTGCTCAGAAGCTACACAAAAAATCAAAGTGTTAAAAGTTATAATTCCTTTTTTGTATTACTAGTGCACTTAAGCTTCATGAATCTGATTTTATTGTTGCTCAGTGCAAATTCCTACATGTATGCATTCCTCCTACTTTGTTCTATTACAGTTTAACTTGAAAGGAAAACAAGTATATTATAGTTAAAAAGATATCAGATACACACTCATTTAGTGGATAAACCCTGTCTGAAAGTCCACAACACACCTCAATTTATTTTTTTTTTTAAATAGGGAAGACCATTGTTTATAAATAAGGTAACCACCTTCAAACGAACAGAAATAACATTAAAATGAAGCTGTACAGTAAATAAATTTTCAACTCATACATATTCCAGAACATCACTTTAAAGCCATTTTGTCTATAAGGAACACTTGTAACTCTTTTGCCTTTTAGAGAAATAACTGATTCTATTTTATAGATCCATTCAGTACACCAGTCTCTTTAGATGCAGAATTTTCCTTTCAAGGTTCAATATTATTCTAAACATTAGAAGGGTTCAATGGTCAAAGATGAAAGACACTCACAAATGAAACCACAAAAAACATTATATTAGAGAACAATTCAACATCTAAATAAGCATTTACGTGCCTCCAGTATCTTTCCATAAAAGCTGTATAAAGCTTTGGTTTTCTTATCTTTATTTTGAACTAGTGTAGATTACTTAAAGTAGTTACCATGTGTTATCCACTTTGTTGTAATTTGTCACTGTATCCTCTACCTGATAGGACACTGCAAATAGACCAAAATTTGCTTTATTGATTGCTCAAAACCTACACTACGTTTACCTTTGGTCCACTTTATATCTAACCTAAATAAATAACAAATAATTCTTCCAAGAGTTTCTAAACTCTCAAGATGTCGTCTCTTCTATCCATCTGTACAGTCAGAATTATCACTGTGGCTCTTGTCCTGATTTTGAATTACTTCAACAATCATTTTTACAGACTTACCATAATTTTCCCTGATTACATCTGTAAAGAATGAAATCACAGAATGCATTCTTAACTTGCCCCAATTATGCTGCTGTTCTTTGCTCCATTATTACGTTATAAAAACCTCTGGTCACTGATGTCATCACTGTTCAAACTACTTCAATTCATCCATCTCTCATTTAAGATTAAAGAAATCAGTTATATCTCAAATCAGCAATGATGTCAATCTCCATTGTAAAATCCTTAAACTTTCATGCACTTTCTTTAATGCACAAACCCAAAACATACAAATACATTTTCTTCTTACATGTGATTCACAGAGGATAATGAAGGATGAAAAACTTTCCAGGCACATTTTTAGAAACATGCTCTGTTTTAATTCATAAGATTGAAGGTTTAGTTCTCTTCCAGAGATTATTTACCTCTAAGTCTAGCACCTTTTTCAGAAGTTAAAAGTAACTGAAATTCTTACATGAAGGAATCTTAACAGTGTAAAGCTGTAAATAGTACAAATAAACTTGAAAGCAATTCATATGAAGTTTTCTGCAATGTAAGTAATAAAAACCAGAAAAATGACAATGTAAACAACTTAAAACTTTTGAGAAAATAGGCTATAGGAAAGCTAAAATTAAATCTCTGGCACATTTTAACAAACAGGAATTTAGGCAAAAGAATGAAAAACAATTAAGTAAGGAAATCAATTTATGACAACATCATCTATCCTGTTTCCTATACATCTTGCCTTTTCCAACAGCAGTATTAAACAAAGCTGTTATCAAAGATTCTTAGGATAAATAAGCTAATGAGAACAGAGCTAATTAGTATTTATCATGTATGATACAATAAGTAAAAAATAAAACGCTTCTAAGAAAATCATGTTCCTAGTGATGCTTGATACTCTATTGGTAAACTATTTCTGAAGAGTTGTCAAACTTTCTAATTACTGTCTAGCCTTACAAATGCTCTCTTTGTAATCTTCTAATATTCTTGGTTTTGTACATAAGTCAAGCATAACGCTTGTAACATTCCAAAGTTCTGATTAAAACACTGCAGAATTCACTCCTCTGATAACTTCTCCTTACTACATTATTTTTACATTCTTCTCCCAAAGGGATCCTAGCCTTGCTTTTTGTCATTCTTTCTCACTTTGGTTTTATTTTTCTTCTCCGGCCTGAGAGTCTTTGGCTTTTCTCCTCCCTGCTTTCCCATTCGTGAAACTTTTCTCCTTGCTGGTCAGTGTAATGCCTTCGAAGTTATGTTACGCTTCCTCTTCCCTAACACCTTTTTATTCTTAGGCCCTTGATCTCACTTGTCCTTAAACATTTCTTAAGTCTTTCTATCACTTCCGTTTCTTCTTCACTAATTTTATTGATTTCCTCAGGTCTCTTAATCTGTATCCTTAGAGTGCAGAGAAAAGGCTAGGAAAAGCCCCTTTCATTACAAGAAAAACATACTACACATCACAGAGTAGCTGTGTCCCAATTTTGTGCAGCCTCCACTTCACCAGAATAAAGATTTGATTCCTTGGGTGAAAAACAAACTCTGCTAGATACAGAGGTTTCTCTTCTGAAAGGCACTTGTATCTGCCTCCAAAGTGCTATCTTCCTTGCTCCCAAAACACTACATTCCACACCTCTCCTGCTCTCTCCACTACTGCAGCAGCCATTACAACACATACACAAAAAAATTAAGAAATCCTTCAGGAAGGATTTCTCAGCATTACAGAAGTTCTTCTCTAGCACCAAAAGGTCTTTATATAGCATACAGAAGCACTACAACAGGTGTATTTTAAAGGGTCCTTCCAGAAGACAAAAAATGTCCTTTGACTAAGGATCCTTGGAAGAATAATCTTTTGAAATAGATGAGATGTCCAGGATTAACGTCATATGCATCTGTCCCAGATTTGTTTCTGGAGCCTTAAAATACAGTTAAATCCTTTTACAATGTGTCTTATCTACAGCTGCTAGAAGAATCACTTAAATACTCCATTACCAAAACTCAGCAATATTTTTTTCTTTAAAGAAGATGCAAACACTTTTCAGCAGAAGAGTACCTTACAATATGAGATCACTGCATGGCACACAATATTCCTGACTGCTTCCCAACTGCCTCCAAAACTGTTGTAAAATTCGCACCCCTGTATTTTTCTCTAAAAGAGTTCGCAGTGTAGCCATAATGACAGTTTGATCTGACAACTATCCTAATCCCATACAGAAATAAAAAGCATACTACCTGCTATTTTTCATGGAATCAGGTCTTCTGATAACTTGAATGGTATTTTAGAACAACTTATTTGTTTGGATGGCAAAAATATGTTTGTATTTCTGTGAATTTACTAAACCAACAGATACATCAACTAATCCTTGTAACAAGAACTATATTTGGCTGCCATTTAGGCTATCCTTATCATAAGTAAACTTAAACTCTCTATTTCAAAAATCACTTTTCCATCTGTCCAACAGATTTAAAGTACTTATACATTCAACTCTCCCATGTGCCAACACACGTGTTACGAATCGATTGGATGTCAGTATTTACCGTAAGTAGGATTCCAGGACTCTATCCAGTCGTTTATAGAAGGGTCGTGACGTAAAGTATCCGCTCCAGTAATGATGATCTCTGTCTGCATAGGTGAAGAAGTCTCCACTTAAAACAGGGAAAAATGAATTGCTGCTTTTTTCACCCAAATTGCTTTCTTTGCGCAGGGCTTCAAAGTAATCTGATAAGGTTCCAAACTGGGCCTGAACGAAAATTAAAATTACTGTAACATAGTTCCATTTTCTTTATTTAGACATGTGAAGAGAACGAATATGTTTGCTTTCATACACATTTCAGAAATATGCCAGTATTCCAGTAGAATTACAGCAGAAATCCTACCCTAAAGAGCTTTAAAATTTCCCTGTACTTTTCAGACAATGCTTCCAAAAGCACTTCAACTTCATTCCAACTCAGTGCAAGACAAACATGGACCTGTTGGAGTAGGTCCAGAGGAGGGCCACAAAAATAATCACAGGGATGGAACACCTCTCCTATGAGGAAAGGCTGAGAGAGTTGGGGTTGTTCAGTCTGGAGACAAGAAGGATCTTACTGCAGACTTTCAATACTTAAAGGAGGCTTCTAAGAAAGATGGGAACAGGAGTTTTTTTAGTAGGGCCTGTAGTGATAGCACAACAGGTGACGGTTTAGAAGGTAGATTCAGACTACATATAAGCAAGTAATTTTTTACAATTAAGGTGATGGAACACTGGAACAGGCTGCCCAGAGAGATTGTAGATGCTCCATCCCTGGAAACATTCAAGGTCAGGTTAGATGGGGCTCTGAGCAACCTGATCTAGTTGAAGTTGTCTCTGTTCATTGCAGGAGGGTTAGACTAGATGACCTTTAAAGGTCTCTTCCAACAAAAACCATTCTGTGATTCTATGAGTCATGAAATATGAAATACTACTTTTTTTTTTAAGTATAAATCAGTATCTAAAATACAAGCTAAATCTCAACAAATAAGCAGAGTATTCTCTTCTGTCATATGAGTAAGTCTCTAACACAAGAGCTAAGTAATATCTCAATATTATGTAAGTAGATGTCTGGACTAAATAAGCAACAGTGTAATGCAACAAGAGCATAGTTGTCTTAATCCTGCGTTTTCAAAATTGACTTTGTTGTGCTCCAGATCTCCAATATACACTTAATTCAAGATGACCATTGCTCAAAAAGTCAGTGTTTGCTTTCAGAAGCTGTTTTTTTAAAACTATATACAAATAAATTTTCTTTAGAGATGTAACATGGGCGAATACCAAAAAACCCATATCATCTTCTGGTCAGTTTTAAAAATACTCAGACAAATAAGGCAATAATAGCCCTTCACAAGGTAGGTCAAAAAGATGGTACACTCAAGCTTGCAGGGTACACAAAAAGTGGGAAAATAAAAAAAAGAGAAGGACTGACATCAATGTTGCCAGCATTGAGAGATGTTTTTAAAGAAGGCACAGACAGCAAGCTGGTCTTTGAATAAGAGTGGAAAAACAATTAGTGGAAGTGGAAAGACCACAGAAGACGACATTACCAAAAGTACCCTCATAATAAACTATAAGGGTAATTATTCAAATTTAAACTAAGTCAGTTCTTTAGTGTCGCAGGATTTTTTTTACTTTTAACAATGAGCATACAAAGTAGCACGCTACAATTTACAACACCAGAAAACACGTTTTCAGTAAACATTTTTTAAAAGTGACTTTGACTATAAGGACTATTGCTGTGACAACAAAGATATGCTATTTCTACACTTAAAAAACCAACCACACAGTATTGACTCTTCAAAATCATTCAGAAGATTCAAGTATCTGTTAGGTGGATACAGTACAATAACTTGCCACTTTGAATAGCAGCAGAGAAAGAAACATAGTGCCACAGAGATCCCAATATTAATGATCATTGCCTTATCAGGCACTTGACCTTTTACCTCACTATCACAGACATGTAGAAGACAGAATTCAGAAGAAGAAAACAAACATCTAGGGCCAAGAGATGATGCTGGGTTACATCAGAGGAAGAAAACCTCACCAGAGGAACCAGCAAAGTTGAAGAAAACTCATTCTAATGTCAAGTGGGTGGAAACAGTGAAATAACCTTGTAGACTCTTCTACTGGCATATAAAAAGCCAATTTGACACAAATTCCAAAGAATTTGACATTGTCGCACCTGACATCCTTGTCTCTACATAGGAGAGGCATGGATTTGACGAATGACCACCTGGTGGATAAGGAATTGGCTGGATAGTCGCACTCAAAGAGTTGTGGTTAACAGCTCAATGTCCAAGTGGAGACCAGTGACAAGCAGTGTTTCTCAGGGGTCAGTATTGGGACTGGTGCTGTTTAACATCTTTGTCGATGACATGGACGGTGGGATCGAGTACACCCTCAGTAAGTTTCCCGATGACACCAAGCCGTGTGGTGTTGTGGACACGCTGGAGGGAAGGGATGCCATCCAGAGGGACCTTGACAGGCTTCAGAGGTGGGCCCATGTGAATCTCATGAAGTTCAACAAGGCCAAGTGCAAGGTCCTGTACGTGGGTCAGGGCAATCCCAAGCATAAGTACAGGCTGGGCAGAGAACGGATTGAGAGCAGCACAGAGGAAAAGGACTTGGGGGTGATGGTTGATGAGAAGCTCAGCATGAGCCATCTATGTGCGCTTGCAGCCCAGAAAGCTGAGGAGTCCAGAGGAGGGCCATGAAGATGATCTGAGGGCTGGAGTAACTCTCCTATGAAGACAGGCTGAGAGAGTTGGGGTTGTTCAGCCTGAAGAAGAGAAGGCTCTGGGGTGATCTTATTGCAGCCTTCCAGTACTTGAAGAGGCCCTACAGGAAAGCTGGAGAGAGACTTTTTACAAGGGCGTGTAGTGATAGGACAAGGGGCAATGGCTTTAAACTGAAAGTCGGCAGAATTAGATTAAATAGAAGGAAGCAATTTTTCACTCAGAGGGTGGCGAAGCACTGGAAGAGGTTGCCCAGAGAAGCTGTGGCTACCTCATCTCTGGAATTGTTCAAGGCCAGGTTGGATGAGGCTTTGAGCAACCTGATCTAGCGGAAGGTGTCCCTGCCATGGCAGGAGGATTGGAACTAGATGATCTTTAATGTCTCTTGTAACCCAAATCATATAATGATTCTATGATTAAAAAGTCTCAGCTTAATTTATGCATAATTAATATAAAGGAGATCTCTAAATGGGTGATTAAACTCCCTGAGAGCAAAATAGATATCTTTTACAGTTATCTACCACATACTTCTAGAACCATAGAATAGTTACTGGTGTGAGAATCTCAATGCTAACAGACATATCCACTAGATAAACATCTTTTATGAAAACAACAATTTTTCTGAAAAGGTAAATCCCTCCTAAGATTAGAAAGGCAGAGTAGGTAGTCCCTTGTGTAAGTAGTAACCTCCTAGGCATCTCAGCACTCAAGGAAGAAATGTAAACTCTGCCTGTATATAATCTATGTTCTTAGGAAGCTGAGCATGACCTCTTACTTGCCTGTGGAGTTACAGTCCACTGGGCAAAACGCAGCAGAGTGTGAAAGTTCTATATCTAAGCTCATATTTCCAAGGATAAATGACATCAGTTTAAAAAAAAACAAAAAAAAAAACCCCAAAAACCCAACAAACAAACAAACCAAAAAAACCAAAAACAAAACAAAAAAACAACCAACCAAACACTAACAAGCAAAAAAAACCCCAAACTATCAACTCAAAAAAACTGAAAGAAAAAATCCAACTAAGTAAAATGAAAAGGAGACATACTCCAAAGCCAACAGTGCTCCAGCTGAGCTAAGTACCCTAGGTATGAAGTAGATGAATCAGAGGATTCCATGTCTTTTTGTCTGGGTATTAAGAACCAGAAAAAGAGCTGGATATTTCTACAGGGGCCCCAAGGACTGGTGTGATTCACAAGAAATTAATCCAGGTGGGCAAGCCAGGTCTGATGAAGTAGACTCCTAGAGTCCTTGACAATGGGCTGAGCAGAATCTTTCAGATAAGGATCTTCCAGATGTCTCAGGACCAGCATGGTCCTTGAAAAATAACTTCAGAGCTAGAGCCTTCAGCTTTTGCCTTAGAGAAGAAATCATCCAGCCCAGGCTAGTAGGAATGTAGACTACAGAAAGTATGCTGCTGTTAGTATCCAAAGAGTAACTTCCTGCACACTATATCAATTTTTGAGGGAAGTAAAGTTGGTGATAACAGCAAGATTTAGATTTAAGAGATTGAAAAGAGTACTCTCCAGGTCCATCTCCCTCCATTAAGACACAGCAGGCATTCACATACATCATGTCACCCACATATCCCATAGTAAACAGATGCCAAATCCAGCTCTCTGACAAGCTGTGGTGCCAATAGATCATCTTTCTTATGCAGGACACAACTCCAGAAGTCAACAGGAAGAACTAACACACTACAGGCACCACTCAAATCTGCAGTTAGAAGAATGGGGAAAGGTCTCAGAAAAGGTGAGAGAAAAAAAGATGCACAGACAAACGACATATGAAAGAGACCATACAAAGTTTAAAAAGCCTATATGTGAAAGCAGCAACAGTGGTCTCATGTGATACTCAAGAAAAAACAAGGCTGTGGTCCTCCATTTCTTACTCCCATTCTGAAAGATGACAAAAGATGTCTGAGACAGAGAACATCTATAGTACAAGAAGTCTCTAAAGTACTCAGCTTACACATTAGAATGGATGAATGTGTGTATTAATACTCAAATATAACTAACGCTTTAAAGTGATCTTATTTGATAATTGTGTTAGCATATTCGCTCCTTTTGTAGCCAGGTCAATCTCTCAGATATTATTGTACTCAACAATATGTGCCAGCACTGTTGTCTCTTCAGACTTTCTGTTTGGGTTTTTTGGGACATAAAGCCAAGAGGACCCAGGCAAAGCAATAAAATTTTCTTGAACTTCTAATAAGAAAATACAATAGTGTTAAATAATAAAGCCTGCGAGTCTTAAATAACAGTGCCTGAAGCATGTGAAAACAAGAATACTAAGAAAACAATCAAAGCTAATAGCTGTTCTCTAAAACAATCTAGTTTGGATACTACTAGTTTTCAAGCAGATATTATCGACAGTAAAGTTTTTGTTTCAGAGGGAGAGGAGGAGGTAAAGGTAAAAAATATAATCTGCCAAGACAAACCAATATGCTGTTAAATAATACATAAAGCTTTACAGTTTAGGAAAAAAAAAAACCTCCACACTACCCACAACGTTCTTCCATGAAGAATCTCAAAATACTGAGAAATATTGTTTTGCCTACAAACCAGAAGCAGCGTGGTATTTACCTTAACATGCCATTCAGGATGAGAATTCATATAATCAAACAACTGTTGATAATTCTGGTACTGTTGATCCCATTCTGAGCTTTCAGCATAGCGGAAATCGTCCCCTAATGGAGCCAACAGAACTTTAGTACGGAAAAGCTTTGACTTCTTTCTGTATTGATCTAAAATCATCCAAGCCCTTGAATGGGAGAAAGAAAAAAAAAAGTCATTTAGAAAACAGAAGAATAAATGCCAGCATGCGATGAAACAATTCTTAGATACCAAGTTGTGCATTAGGGTGACCCAAACAAGACATACAAAACTTTGCTACCTCATTTTTTAACAAAAAAACGGATGCAGTTCCCCCCCCGGGACACCACATTCAACCTACTACTGCTGTAAACACTACGCTAATTAAATCCTCCTACAAGCTTATCCAGCTCCATCTCAAACAGTAGGTCAGTCTGCATCCGTTTGTTCCTGTGCCAAAACTAACCTTCAGTTTAAATTATGTTTACCTGCTTTATATTTAGATAACAATCCTAATCCTCTCCAACCTATATTTACAATAATAAGTAAGCTCTTCTCATCCCCTCTGTAATTCCCTTGGATACTTTGCTTCATATCTTCATGTCCTTGACAGAAAAACTGCCCATAAATTAATATTTGAGGAACTCCGGCCTTACAAAAAAAAAAATCTGTAGGAAATTCACTACTAACAATCACTGTTCCCCCTTCAACCGGCTTTTAATCTTTAAAAAAAAACACACAAACAAAAACCCCACACATACACACACAGAAAAAAGGCAGTAAAATTATCCTTTGGAACCTACCAACTCTTTGATGGGTAACATATCAGTTCTGTCATTAAGAAGCAATGTATCATATGTTACAAGTCTGATGTCTGGGTTACTGAAAAGGTCCATTTCACCCCCTCCCCTTCCTAACCACAATCACTACTAAAATCTTCAGATGCTGATCCTCTCTAATTGAAGTTATGAAAATAATTTTAGTGGGGAGTATAAACCATGGTAATGTGTTTAAGAAAAAAGAATACAAATGACAAAGTTTCAAAGACAAAATAGTGGCAAAATCCAGATTCCAGTGAGCTTTTTGTTTCTACAAGTCTTTTTAATAGATGGTCTACCAAAATCTACTTTCAACTCATAAAGATTTGTTACATAAACGTTTATGTGAGAATTGAATCTAGTCTAATATATTTGAAACCCATATTTCTTTGGCCAGCAAGTCAGCATTTATTTGTTTATCGGATTATAAATGCATCAAGCAAACACAAGGTCTGACTATTCTGGCAGCAGAAAGGAGCACAACAACATTTTTAGTTAAGGATTCACACAGTTCTGCTGAGACTAGAATAGACTCAACGAGTTGCTTCCCATCCTCTCTGTCTATAGTTCAGATTACCAAGTATTTGTGCTTGAATCAATATCTTCCACAACTTTCAACAGGTTGCTGATTTAAACATACGACTACCTCTCCACACATGTATTAGAAAAACTGGCACAACACAAGACTTTGTAATTCTTCCTTCTAAGAAGCCAGCCTAACTCAAATTTTCCACATGGAGCCTATAGTTGGAAACAGACTTTATTTTAGAGCCTCTTGAAAAATACAGGACTTCAGGAAAGGTTAACAGGATATTTGACTTCTCTCTTCAAAGCTCTCTAGTTTCATTCCAAGTATACTGCAGAATTCATCAGTGTTGCTGTTCTCCCTTTCTTCAAAGCACTCATAACTGTGGGATTACTAGGTGTTTTTAAAGGGGCAGCAGGATCTTCCTCCAGTGCAAACCATCTTCAATTGCAAATACACCAGAGAAAAACTAGGTATCTCAAGTCAGGTATATCCTCTTAAGTTTCTCTCAAATAACTTCCTAAATCACTATTTCATACAGGAGTGAGAAAGAGCCAGCAGAAGCCCCAGACAGAATTCTCTTAAGATAAAAAAACCACAAATTCCACTGTCTTACCAATGCTTTCACCTTCCAGTTCCCCAGTAAGACAGTATTAGGCACATTTTGATACATTTACCCAGTCTATCAGAAATAAAATTTGAAAACCAAAGAGAACAGTCATGATAAATTTTTTGTAGTGCCATAATTATAGATAAGGCATATCTGTAGTAACTCCATTTTAATGGCTTTAAAAAAAAAAAAACAAACACTTTTCATTTTTCAATGAATTTCCAATAATCAAAAATTATTGGAATTGTACACAAGATGTTTTCCGTATTTCTCAATATTCACAGTAACCCTAACTGCACTCTTATTTGGCAACACTGCAGTATATCAACACTGTCAGCAACAGCATCAAGAATATTTTCCACCTTTCTTTGCGAAGCTTTCAGGTTATCATTGAATAAACTGTCAGATTATCCCTAATCTTTCACAAAGGAAAAAAAAATCCTTCCGTATCACAAATGTGTTCTTTTAACAAAAAAATTCCAAGTATTTGGCTAAAATATATGAGAAGAACTAACATGGCTGGTTTTGCACCTTCCTATGTCAAAGAAGAAGGAGAAGCAGTAGCCACCCAGAGTCTGTGGGAATCACAAGAAATTTTACAGCAGGTATAGGAAGTCGTATGTGACAGGTTTGACAGTGGTCATGGCTTCACAGTCCCTGCTACTTCAGCCCATACAGTAAAAAAAGCATTAGGGACTGACTCTTTGCTCAAATATCACAACTAGAAAACAAAACTGTGGTGGATTCGAAATTTTCTATTCAGGTAACTTTGAGGAGGAGACGGCTATGCAGACAGTACAAGTATTTCCTAAGAGGGTGATCTCAGAATCTTCAGGTTGGTGATCACAAACATTAACTACAGTGCCACATCAGCATTGTAATTATGAACACCAGTTGCATGTTGTGTAATGTGATCAACCATAAAGAGAAAAAAGCTGAAGGGTAAAATTGGGCTCTTGAACAGTAGGAGGTGAAGGGGAAAGGTAATTTTCTACTCCTCCTCTGAACTACATAACTTGCAGTACAGATTCTTTCCTATATCCATGCACAGGAGAGACAGACATACATCTAAACAAGCTACACTTCCTCTAACAAAACAACTCATTATCATTCAAGGAAGAGGAAACAAACAAACAAACAAAAACACAATAAAAACCCACCACAGCTGTTTTTTCTTGCTAGTGGGAAAAGCTAGAACTTCAGCATTCAAACATATGGACAAGGGTTCAACTGCAAAACAGGGCAAATGCAACAGCAATCTTTATAACCTAAGCTGTTATGAAGTGTAATTAAACAAGTAAGGGCTTTCAATTAGGCTGCTACGTCATTCCTTCCTACCAAATCACAACTAAAGCAAGGCAATGATATATCAGCTACCAGTCTTAAGTTTTCAGTTCAGTATCTCTTCAGAATATATGAATGGCCATAACAGTACTGAAATCAAAAGCAACAGTCCCAGCTGAGCATTCAAGATCTGTGTTTTATTAATTTTGTTGCAGCTTTAGCACAGAAGAAAGGTCAGTGCTCTAAACCTTGCCTCTAAATTAGTGAAGTGTGTATCTAATACTTTTTTTTGGATCCATGTACTGTAGATCTCCTGTATTTGTCCAGTCTTAAAAAACAAGGCAATCAGAGATGAGAGAGAGATTAATTACTGTGCTACGTACCTTTAACCTTAGAAAGTTTATGAAGTAAAGATAAGCTTTTCCAATTACTTCTGGATCTCATACATCTCCTTGTCATAACAACGGTAAAACTTGTGTTGTTACAGAGGTCAGATCAGGGGAGTTTTTAGTTGCCTACAATACTCCCAACTTTTTCATAAAATATGAGTAGTGTTTTTAGCATTCTCCAGTAAAACACTACTTCCTATGGTTTAGTGGTTTTATTTGAAACTACACTCTCAAAGTATGGTTCCTGTGTTCCTTCCAGTATTCCAGATGTCAATAATCCAGGCTCCTAACTCAAAGATCACATGGTAGTTTCATTTTTCCCTTAGGTATATCTCCCGTACTGCTTTTAAACTCTATTAGACACCAAAACTGTTTTTATCTACCAAAAGATGATCATTCACTAAGTACCTGCCCCATTTCTTTTATTCTTTTATTTCACATGACATGGTGAAGGAATCATTTCTTTTATGAAGTCTAATTTAGATTGTTATACAAAGATTGCACCTTGGAAGTGCAGGAATAAATTAACATCTAATTAAAACCCAAAAAATTAAAAAAGCATTCTGAGCAGGCTCTCCAATTACGTTGTATTTATAGCCTATATGTTCCAGGTATTTCTTAAACAAGCTGTTGCTCTTCTACAAATATTTGTCTCAGCTAATTGGGATACATATTAAGATTCTTCTTTTTACAACTTTGATTTAAAGACACATGAGCTTTCCTTCACATTTGATAAGCACTAGGTGTCTCATAACGATTCTCCTATTAGCCCTATTGCTCTCCTGTCACCTTCAGCTTTCGTTTCTCTACTTTTAACGAAAAGGACTTTTTCCTATCATCATTTCAATTTTTACCTTAAAATATGACAATTGTGATGTACTCTGTTTTATTTTGGTTTTATTTTTCATAGAAATTTCTAACTGAATTTTACTAACAAAGTGAAGCTTGAGATGTCTGGCAAAAGTCATACTTGGAAAAAGGACATGCAGACAACCAATGCAACATCATCACTTCAACTTCAGCATCAAGACCACAACCAAAAAGGTACCCTGCTATCTTTGATATCTTTGTTATACTCAGAAATTTGCAACAATTGTAAACACCTATCTAAATTTCTAACTCTTGAACTTTGGGGTGGTTTGGAGGCCTGAAGACAGCAACAGGACCCCAGAATACAATCTTTCTCTGGAAAAACTTTCAGCCTTTCAGCAGTTCTATCTTCCCTTTCTTTTATTTTTTCCCCCCCTCTGCCTTCAAAGTAGTTTGCAAAAATGTAATTGATTCATACCAGTGACAAAACAAGTCAATGTTTCTATTTGAAAAACAAAATTGAGGTTAATATGATTTCCACACCCCTACAGACATGTAAGACAAAGCGTTCACTTCAGGAAACCTAGGCCACAGATTGCCAAGTTTTGCAAGGATATGCCACAGAAAATACCTGACTGTTTCCTGCTACAGCATACTACACCATGCTGTCCCTGAAGTCCTCCACTGGCAGAAGAAAGATCACTGTCTATTCTTAAAATCCACAAAACAGTAACATGACTATGACCAAAAATTATTATGTTCTGATTAGCATTCAGAGACAGTAATAGACTCATTTATCATGAATGGAAAAGAAACAGATTTAATGCATCTTCCTTAATTATCATCTATCTTCAAGAGCATAATTGACAGCAAAATTTGAACTTACGAACAAACACTGCATCACGTAATAGCTATTATTTTCCTATGATAAGTTTGTTTTAAGAACTATTCACCAAGCTATGCTAGGTATCATCTTTGACCAGTTTTGTTTTTTTTTTTAAAAAAAAAGTTATTCCCTTGCAGAATACGTAAAAACTGTACCTGTGTTGAACATTTCCAGCATGAATGGCTTCTGGTGGAACTCTCCATGGACAGCTTACTCTTCCTCCAGGAAGACGTTTGAAATCAAACTGGCAGCAGATTTTTGGATCTGGACCACAAGTATGAGGAATATCATAGCTATAGAAAGGCATCATATGACAAAGGATATCTGTACTGGATCCCAAATCTGGAATTAAATACATAGAGCATACCTTTAAAATAAACCTGCTCGGATTTGTTGAAACTAAATCAGTTCCATCACTCCTAATACAAGAATTATATATAAAATAATCAGATCAAGACAACTCCTTGCTTTGAATATCCATATCTGGAGTCTACCTTTGTATGTACCTTACACATACAGAGGTTAAAAACAGGGATACAATCAAGATTGGAATGCTCCAGTCAAGCATCAGCTGATTGGGAAAGACAGGAACAAAGTGTTAGGGGTTTTTTTACCTAGATAAATCTTATTTCCAGAGTTTTAGAGGTGAATAAAACACATCTTTTATACTTTGAGTGAATCAAACCCAAACCACCCTGCATGTCCTCCCACCAAAAAAAACAAACCTGAAAAAATCCAAACAAAAAAACAACCACCCTCCTAGCATTACCTCATTAGCACAACATTTGAATTGGTTTGCTTTAGTAAAATTTTTATTTCTTGAACACATAACTTCAATACATTAACGTATGTACTTGTAGACAGATTCTATGTGCTTATACACAGAATTACATAAAATTATATGCATTTCTGAGACAATCTTTACAAACCCAGCTTTTCCATCTAGTCAGTCCATTTCCTAAAATTTAACTCACGAGGAGCAGAGATCTACACACGTTTTGTCAAGTCTCAAGAGAAGGTCTTTCAAAATTTAACTGTAAAGAGAACCTCAAGTTCTCATGGAACTTAAGAAAACATTAAGTTTACTTATCCGGTAAAACCCCTAAATGCTGCTTACCTATTTCCTGCTCTAATGACCTAAAGTAATTTAATGCTGAAAAAAAAGACATGAATGCTCTAGATGTGCCAGAAAACCTGGCTCCTAAGTATGTCAACAATATATATAAAAATAGTCTTCCAAACTTTAACAGCATACATCTTCACAGTCCCAATCCAGACCTTTTGTTTTAAAACTCTTATTTTACTACTACTTGCTTATTACTAAAAAGGTAATATTCCATAAATATTATAAAGTGCTTACTTTCAACTACAGGAGTTCTCTTCATCTCATGTACTCCATCTACATACTATGTTGGATGACTGTGCAGTGATCTTTGATATGTGATCTGTTTTGAAAAGCCTTCTTTTGAAGCCCAAACACTAGACTATATCATATATATGACTGATGTATATAACTATTTAGGAAAAAGGCCTGTCAATTAAGCATTCTGTACACGAAGTGGAATATACTAGGATTAAAAGAAAAATCTCTGAAGGGTCAGTATCTGATAAATTCTTGCACAGTGGTATGTTTTCCTCTAGTCCAGTTTACTTGTGCAGCAGGTTTTTTCTGAATACCCTCCTTCCTACAATTTCTGATTTAAAACACAGAAGAGCTAAAAAGCTCCAAAATTGCCACCACCTTTCAATAAGAAGCTCTAAATACACTTGTTTGAGCCTGTAGTGATGAAGCAGCAACATACTAGCTTACTATAAAAGACAGAAAGACCAAAACCTCAACTACACACATTCATCATACAGATTATCAGAATGCTGGAACAGTACAAATCAAAAACAAATATTCATACAGAAAAGTACATTCATTTACAAACAGATCACTTTAAGGTATGATCACTACTTTACCTCAGAAAACTTTCATACTCTATATTGTATAAATCACATAAAAAAAGCAATGACATTAATTTGTCACACCAGCTGAGGAAAACTGGTTGCTTGAAAGTTTTTTCCTTAGTAAGAACATAAACAAGACAGATCTCTCCATCTTTAAATGTTCACTTTAGGCTTTTTTTTTTCCCCTCACCCACATCCCCACTCTGCAACCCTATCTCCAAGAGAAATGTTCCTTCTCACTTTATTTTATTTCCACATAGTAGGAGTAGGAGGAAGAAAACAAAGAAGTGAGAAAAGGAAGAAGAATATTCCATCCTTTTTACCTTTTTTATTTATATTTGAAAGGAATGTGGGAGAAGGGAAATAAGAGAAAGTAAAAGCAAAAATGAAAGTGAAGAAACAGGAAGATGAGAGGAACAGTGGTAATAATACAGTCTTTGTATTTAACCCATTTCCTAACATATAGGTACTCACATTCCCTTTCTGTTATTAAAAAAAAATTCCCCAAAACTTAACCTAGATGAAAGACTTTTTTTTTTTTTAACAGAACTGAAAGTCTAAAATTTTCAAGTCTAGACTAACTTCTCTAAATAACCTATTCTGTAAATATTTCCACAGTATTTATGGAATATTGTGTCCAGTTTTGGGCCCCTCACTTTAAGATAGATATTGAGCTCCTGGAGCGAGTCCAAAGAAGGGCGACTAAACTGGTCAAGGGGCTGGAAAATAAAACTTATGAGGAGCGGCTGAGGGAGTTGGGGCTGTTTAGCCTGGAGAAGAGGAGGCTGAGGGGAGACCTGATTACAGCCTACAAATACTTGAGAAGGGATGGTGGGGAGGTAGGGGAAGGGCTCTTTACATTAGTGTTGGGTGATAGAACAAGAGGAAATGGGTATAAGCTTAGTCAGGGGAGATTCAGGTTGGATGTTAGAAAGAATTTCTTCTCTGAAAGGGTTGTCAGCCACTGGAATAGGCTGCCCAGGGAGGTGGTTGAGTCACCATCCCTGGATGTGTTTAAGAACAGGGTGGATGAACTACTTAGGGATATGGTTTAATGGGGGATTAGGGACGGCTGGACTGGATGATCTCTAAGGTCTTTTCCAACCCAGAAATCTATGCATCTATGCAAGTTCTCTCCATATTTTACCTATGTAAATTAAAAAAATTAATTGACATAAAGGAAAAACACATACCCCAGTTCTGTCTCCAAAAAAATTCTAGTGTCTTCTGCATTGCAAAATGTTTTTTAATTGAGTAATGAACTCTCTGTATAAGCATACTGGAAAATCCTGTGCGTTTCAGAAGGTAGGCCATTGTTGGTGAATGCCCAAAGGGATCAACTGCCCAACCAGACTTTGGTTTTACTCCTGTTGACAAAAGAAAAAAGTAAAACAGGAAAAAGTTTTAATTTTCACTCAAAGAAACTTCTATCAATATAATTCAAATTTAAGCACTAAAAATAAAATTTTTAAGAAGATAAATGAAAATATAAAGCTGAGTATTAAGCCTCCTGCAGAACATACTCTGGAATTAAAAAGCTAGAATTAAACAGATAAAAAATTAAAAAAAGGAAAATGTCTTAGAGGGAAGGCATTCTGTTTAATGATATAAAAATCCTGAGAATTGCACACTACACTGTTCAACTATTTCAACAGTGTCTCAAGCATCTTTACATGGCATTATAATGAAATATAACTCCTTTTTCACTTTAAGTAGTTTACAGATGTTACAACTGGAAAAGAAAGCTAAAAAAGATTAACTGATGGATTGATGTTGTAGCTTATTGAATTTTCATTGCAATTTAAATAATGTTAACCATTGTTGGCTTTGGAACTAACCATTCTTTTCTTTTGTTTTATTTGATTGGTAATCACTAGAATCATATTGATTTATACTATCTTTTTGCTGAACTTCATACTAGCAAATAAAGAAGCTATATCTAACTCTTGTTTAACTGATTCTTCCACATGGTTCCTTAGGCACAATTTTAGTGTCTTACCAAAAAAAACCAGTAGGGAATGCATTACCCTTTTATTAGGTCTTCCTTCCCCCCATCTCTTAATTATGTCAAGCTGTGTTTATGGAAATTGCAATCTAAGAAAAACATACTGAAACAGTTTTTCAAAATAATTTCAGTTAATTGGATAAAGTAATGTTAACTTATTATTAAAATCACTGTACAAATTTTCTGTATGAAAAGGGTTATCTCTACTTAGGGAATATTATCTCTACTTATAGAACTAAACAAAAAACCCCTCTCCTAAAGCCACCAAAACAGTTTAGCCAATGTTACTGCAGTCAGTAATTCCTCAAAGTTTCAAAAGCGAATGAGTTGAGGTTTTGTTGTTGTTGTTTTTTTTTTTTTTAAATATGAACAATTCGAACATTGTAATGGGTTTAGGTTTTATAACTACCACAACAACTACTACTAAATTTCATATTTACTTTTTTGAAAGTCTTACATAAGAGAATAATGAATACACAGCCTGCAGAATAGATCCAAACAAATGAAAGGAATATAAATTTTTAAGTCATTTTAAGGCCTGTTGTGATTTTCAAAAGATAGAAACGGCAATCGGAAACCGTTTGTGGTGCCAGAGACGTATGATCTACAATTCAGCATGATTTAGTGTTGTATTTTGTTATGCTAATACACTGCGCATATCTTTCATCGATCAAGACAAAGCGTTATGACATAAAATTGTTTAAATACACTTCATCCAGGAACATCTGCAAATAGTAATTGCTAATACTAGACTCAATCCTATAGCTCCCAATAAGTGATCTTATTTAAAGTTTCAGGAAAGCAGAGTAAAGAGAGCCTTCTAAGCACCTCAGAAATACAAAAAAAAGGCATTTTCTAATTGACTTCCTGTGTTAACACAGATAAATTTTAGATCAAGCTACATACCAAGGTTCTTTTCTAGCCATTGATGTCCTTCTATCAGTTGGTCAATCAAAGCAAAATAATGAGAAGAAGCTTCATCAGGCATGACCCATCCTCCTGTTACTATTTCAAATTGTCCATCTTTTATTAATCTGAAAAATATGTAAATTGTGTTCACAATCTTGCATATAAAAATAGACCCTTCCATTTCTGAATACCCAATAGGTATTTACCACAGACACGATGCCAAAAATCTAAGTTGCTTGTGCTACTTCCATCACTGCACTACATTTCTTTAATTAAACAGCGAAAGAATGAATAGCTGAACAGTGAAATGTTTAATGCCTCTGTGCATTAAAACAACCAGCAATGAAAACAATCAGCTCTACTGCATGTGCCATAACATTTGATTTTTTTTTTTAAATCGGGAAGAAGGCTATTTCCTGCACAGATACAAAACAAAAAGCATATGTGCCAGAGCACTGAAGCCAAATTGAGAGAGATGCCTAGACATTGCACATTTCAAGCACTACTAATATCTCCCTGTCTTTGATCCACCGTTCTTTTTATTGTTTTAGAGAGATGATAGAACTTCAAAGTTTATTGTATCTATAAAGGCTTCAGACCGTCTCACTTATTAAAATGCTTTCTTGAAACAGATCACAGGATGATCCAGTCTCCCTATTAAGAGGTCAATGATCATTATGATCATGCTTCCAGCATCAGATGGTCCCTACAGTTAAATAACGTAATTTCAGTACTTATATTGTACACTAGCATATAAATGTCTAATGAATTTGAGAAAGAAATACAGTAAACGTATGAAAACTTAGTCATATTATAGATAACAAACTGCAACCCCTGCATCTTGAAAGGGGGCATGACAAGAAGGGCATCACAGAGATGAGCTAAGAACTGCTGGATCCTGTCTTAAAGCAAAGTAAAAAACCCAGAACAAAACAAAATAACCCACACCTTTTTGAAAACACCGAACTAGATCCTCACTTCAAGTTTATCCAAGCAGCATGTTTTCTTGTTTTAATGTCTAGGCAAACCTTTACTTCTGAATTACATTTTGACTTGTAATTTTAAAAAGAACTAAGAAGAGTAAGAGTATAGAGTTTGTACTACTTCACCATTTAAGTAGCTGCATGTTTACAAAAAATACACAATCGCATTTCATAATTGTGTTTTAACTGAAGAAAAAATTATCGTATATAAATAGGTAATATGAAAGATTATTTTTATTCCATTATCAATACTTCAATGTGACTTCAAATGAAGTTTATAATCACAACTTCATTACAATTTGAAAGGCCTCTTCACAGTTGTACGTGGAAACTTTTAGACAATTTTTTCAGCAACTCAGTAATTTGTCTTCACTTCTCTAAATAGATTTTCATTTAGTAACCGGAAAAAAAAAAAAACAAACCAAGCCCAAAAAGTCAAAACTTGAGTAGTCAATTATTCTAGCAATTCTGCATTGCAACAAGTGAAATCTCAAGTTTACAGTGTAGTCGAATACACAAAGTCTCAGAATATGCCACATGGAAGATAAGAAATAGTTCAGTGTTCAAACCTTTTAACGGCATCCTTTTTTTGGCTATCTATTCCATCCCACCATTTTGAAAAGTAAGAAATCTCAGACCACATAAATTTCCTTCGACTGTCTTCTTGCAGTTTTATAACCATGTTATTTAAGATATGTTGTGTCTGATCTCTGAAGTAATCATCAAAAGTCTTCAGCCAACCTAAGGAAAAGAAAATATTCAATTCAAGTTGCTTTCAACAGTCTTAGAGGCCTAACTTCTTCCCATTCCCTAGAAAAAGTGAAGCGTTTTCTTAAAAAGCTGAACTTTAGATGCTGTGGACAGTTCAAAGTGTGAAATTCTCCAGGAGTTTCTTTTTACAAAAGTTTAGAAGTTTTATTTCTTAAATATATAAATATATGGAATAATAGGCCTTCTACTTTGATCAACAGAATACATAGATTTTAAGAACTGTGGATTTTTATTTTTTTAACTTAAGCACAAATTAAGTAGTTGAAAAGGAAGATGTACATATCTGCAAATTGATCTTTCTTGATAACTTCCACCAGGTTTCTTCATCTTTCGTATCAGGCGGACTGTACCATCTATTAACAGAACACCTCCCCAGCCCAAGCCCTATTCCCAACACACACATCCCCAACACCCTCTGATCCTTCCCTCAATGTCCTATCTCTTGTTTCAAGTCATAAAGCACCCATCACCCAATTTTATGCAAAATAACTGAACGAAAATCCTTACTAGCAACATCTTACACCTACAGCTTGAGAAGAAAATTAAGAGCCTCTAATAGTATCATGCAGACTTTGAGGGTAAAGAAATAAAACGAGGGCAAACAAAGCAGCAGTAAGCCCTGCAGCACATTTCAGCATCATTTATGAATGAGGGGTTTGTTAGCAATGACTGAGAAAAGAACTATGCTGTAGCATCCCTCATTAGAAAAGATACCAGTGAGATGCAAAGCAAAGGAAAAGCCAACTTTAACCACATATTCAGACTTCACAGTCCAGAGCCTTCCATGAAATTCTTTAACCTCTTCCTAAAACCTGGCATGAGAAAGTACATGCATCTTCCTTCCCAGAACCCAGAAGGAATATGTTCTTTCTGTAACTATAACTAGAAAAAAAGCAGCAGATAAGCCTGTCTACTTAAAACACAAGTGGCATATTCCTACTCCTCATACCAGCTCATCATATATAAGCATCTTCATTCAAGCGCTTCCAAAAGAGATTCAGCAGTTGAGTTTAAAGAAGTATCATATACAACAGAGTAACTTCTGAAAAATGCGACCGATCTTACAAATTCATCCTATAGCATGCATTCACATTTTAAGATTTTGCGAAAGCTTCCACACAATGTCCTTCAGACAAATATGACCCTAGTGGTTGCACTCTGATTTACTAGTTCTGTTTCGCAGAGGCACTGCCATTCTAGCACAATGCCAGTCTGCTTATAAGAAGATACAGGATTAGGCTGTTCTGGAATGAGATAATATTGTTCCAAGGCAGTTATATAAATGCAGAAAATTTTGGTATTAAAAAAACATTTTTAAGTCTAATGAAAGAAAACCACTTTACTATTGAATGGATTCTGAATACAGATTCAGAAAGAATGTATTATATTTTACATAAAGGATAAAAATAAATGACGTTTGTCTTAGGTAGAAATGCAGAGCTAATCTAATTTGACAGTATGCGCATTCTTTTCCATTTCACATCAACTTGTAAATTATATTTCAAATACAGAATCTTGTTATTAGGAATAACTACTAGACACTGGCACACTCTTGCTTTGGTTGCTCTACTTTCAGGTTGCACTGTCACTGTGCGAAGGTCAAATTTTAAT